CAATCGCGTGGGAACACGCTTAGACGTACACAGAGATCAACGAAGATTTATTCGCACGCGTTTCATGCAAATTGGATGATATAAGCATGCCCTCCGACACGACTCACCCCCGTTTCTTGTACGACAGCTACCTCTGACTTCTGTTGATTATTCCAAACTTTCCTTCGAGAGTTTGTCGACTGCTGTTTATCAGTCTCAGCCTGCTTCCGTTTCATACACTGAGGCTCGTGAATTTTTATACTTTTCGTGCCGAAATTTCTGCCGCAAATTTGGCAAGCAACCATTGGCGGTCCTGTTCGCGATGTGCTCGTACATTTTTCTACAGGAGTATTTTCTAGTTTCTCTGCCTCGGGAGGAGTCTGTTCGTTAAAAAGTAGCCAAGTAAGCGGAACGTTTCAAACGGGATAAAAGAAACGTGAAATTAAGCAAGTACTTTTTTTTATTTTTACCTTTGCCGAAGCTTTACAACTCTTCTCATGCACCGTTAGTCGCTCTGGTAAGAATGTTCTTCCGCACTTCGAGCAAGGGACCAATTGCGCCTGAAAGCATACAATTTCGCGTTGATTACCTCGTTCTGTACTTCGATCCGCGGTTAACACACGCCGCCAGTCAGCGTTAAGGAAAAAAGTTCTTTTCTCAAATCTCGAAGTTAACGAGTCGCAATGCGGTTCTTAGTTTTTTTAGATCAAACATGCCGTCAGTCTGAAACGGCCAAGTCTCTCTATGTGTATGATGAATGTAGGGCAGCACCTTGAACACGATAGGGCCGAGGTATTACAGTGCGTGACATGCACTCTCTGTGAAACCAGAGACTTTGCACGTGGTTCCCTGTTCCAATGCGCCGGTATTTGTGTTCTTACGTATGCATAAGAAACGCGCAAGGGTGAGCTTTAACGTGTAGCTTTACCATTACGCGTATTATTATCGATCTCGGTCCGCTGGATAGAGCATGTTTCTGCATAAAAACTATGCTCGCATAGTTTGCAACTCTCGACGTACAATTTCTAACTTTGCATAAATCGTTGTTCTTTCTTGTTAAGATAAGGGAAAAACGAAGAAAAATAATAAGTTGAACGTAATTACGAATTGTAAAGATGTTAGATAAATGTAGGTATTATGTATACCGAAATTAATTATGCACTATTCAAGGTTGGATTCATCTCTGTCTTTTTGTGATTCTATTACATCACCGTCTGGTAGAGTCAGCCGTTAGCCATAACAAACATAGTACAGTGACTCATTCCGCCAATCGACATACATACATACATACGTTCGCTTGTACAGACAAATACGGAAGTGCTTAACGATTCAGGACTAACTCTTATCTGGGTCTTCATCGATGATCGATCATGTAAAAAAGAAATGTGTTTGAGAATAAAAAAAAAAAGAAAAAAGAAGGAGAAATTGCTATGAAGACATTGAATTTGATACAATCGACGGTCACGGCTGCAATTTGCATATTTAAGGAGACGTTGAAACAGCTGAACGCAATACCTGGCTTTCTTCCCATGCCGCTGCGTTCCATTCTGAATGATTGATTGCTATGTCGGGCCTCTGAGGTGCTGGACGTCGTTGGTTCACTGGCAAAGAGTTATTCTCTCGTTCCCACTTCTACAATCATTAACATTCATTAATTATCCTATAATATTGAGTTACAGCATTTATACATCATTGACGAGGGATAAACGATAATTATTTCCTCAGGGGAAAGCCTATCACAACATCTACTAAGAATAGATATTATCTCAGAAATTAACCCTGACATAACACGCTATTTTTTTGGACTATGAAATGTTACATTGGGGTCTTTCAAATTCAATATGATTTTCTCACATTTTTAGGTGTCTATTTTAGGACTGTAAAATTAGAAAATTGAAAAAAAAAGTAAATAGTTTGATATTTGCAATTATTTTGCAATACAGTAAAGAAAATCAATTGAGTCGTGAAAGATTCCAACGGGCCAAATTCGGAGTAAACGAAATTTTTATTTTCATCTATCCTCATTCCTAGAATCTTCCTCGCACATTATATCAGAAGCTGTAAGGTAGGTATCAAGTGTCCGGTTCTAAATTAACCGCGACGAGTTCTTAGGATGCAATAAATATCGCTGCTGTAAGTGAATGTGAATTCCAAAGAGCGATTCACGGTGAAACGTCGTAACTAGCACGATCGATCACGAGACATAATTAATGTTCTTTCGTAGATAGCCCATAGATGGTCGCGGTTGAGGTCATGCATGGATATATCGAACAGAATGTATATAGAGCATGGCATACGTGTAAATTACGCTGCACTGGTCGTCTCGTGGGGGGCACTCGCCTGTAGCAAACGAGTTGCGAGGTGTCAGTTCACGTGTACGTACGTACAAATGTTGCTGATATCAACGTAATACACACAACAGCGTACAAAGCGTGAATATCGACCTCACAAAGGGCCTTGATATATTACGTGCATCCAGAGACATTCAATAATATTCATACATCCCACGGCATCGCTAGTATGAATAATAAATGTAGTTCAAGTTCAATGTAAATTTAGATACGCCACCCGCGTTATATCAGCTTGCGGGAAAAATTCTAGCCGCTGATAAATACGATATGGAGATACGATTTCTGTTAACTGAAATTCGATTATGTAAGTTACTCGGAAAAGGTAGAAGATTGCACCAACTTGCGACATATTACACGCTACCGGAGGTATAGTCGGTGAAACCGATACAGTGAGTTCGTAAATTAGAACGTTATGTACGTGTACAATCAACCTCTTACAAACCACCGTCGTTTACTGCTCAATAATTATGGATCAAAGCGCATATACATTTAAATATACCACAATAGAAGAACGTTCTTATCTCCCTCAAATTGCTGTTTCAGCGCTTGGGTTACATGAATGTTATCGCTTGACCGATTTTGCGACCTCGACATATCGCTTCCACCGACTATACTCTTCGATTCTTGATTGTTCTAACGAGAAACCAGCGAACAAAACTTTGCAATAACCTAAACAAAAACTACCTCTATAATACCAAGTATAATAAAAAAAAAAAATACATATATCGTTACATTCATTACCGAAGTTTGAAGGCATAAAACCATAACGATGATGGATCGTTCACGAGCAACTTACTTGCATGCACCTAGGCTCGTGAATAGGAAAGCTTGCGGTACCAAATTCGCGGCTGCATACGTAACAAGTGATGGTTCTTGGTCCCTTCTTAGCTGGTGCAGAAGAAGGCCTATTAGACGGACTCGATCGTTCCTGAAGATTGGCAGACTTCGACTTTCTGTCCTGACCGACTGTTTCCTCGCTTTTGTTCTTGCTCTTATCGCTACGAAAGTTCAGGGCTACAGGTTTTTGCACGGTTTTCGGTATCGCTGTCTTTGTCTTCGTATTCGTAGGGCTATCTTTCGCCTTTTGTTGACCGCCCTTTGGATGACTATGAAAGCGTTCCGGTTGATCTGACTTTCCGCAACTCTTGCATGGTTCAGGTGCACTTCTAGTCGAGGAGGCTGTGAAGACCTCAAGATCATTTTGTACGATGGGTCGTGAACTTTTCTTCTTCAGCGTGGACAAAGAGTGAACCTTGTGACCGGTTGTTGTTCCATTTCTAATTAATAAAATATAATTCGTTTATTTAAAATTCATCTGTTAACTCTACTTTTCTAATTAAATGATTTCTATGCACTTTCGTTTTTTTTCGAATAACTGCATTTTGCAACAAGTTTCTCAAAATGGAAACTTCTTTCACGAACCTATTATTATTGTCATCCAGTTTCCTATTATCCAAACTCTTCTTCGCCACATCTTGATTGACAATACGTTCGTGCTTCTGCATTCTAGGCGATTCCGTGGACGCGTCGACGTGACCGGCGAGCCTCATGTCGAGAATTTGCTCGAAACTGCGTCGCTTGTAACGTACGGAGAAGGGGCCGTTGCACCACGTTGCCGCGCCATTAGTTGAGGGGCTACATTGTTGTTGTCGTTGCCGTTCAGCTGCGGTAACGCTTTGCCGGTACCTTGACGACGAAGGAAACGCCGATGTTCCCCCACTAATTGCCTTCGAATGGCGAAAACGAGTCATCGAGTCGACCAGGAGTTCCTTGCTGAGGAGAGACATGTCTAGCTTGTCGACTAGATCCGGATCCAGAACGCTCGGTTTCTCCAGATTCGCGGTTTTCGGTCTTTCCAGTTCGTCGTATAAAGACGAACCATGTTTCATCTTCGGCGGCCAGGTGCTCGTGTCCGGCGTCTTCGATTTCCCTCGATGCTTTCCCTTTTCTAGACGATTTTTAAGGTGTTAAATTTGTGGATAATAGGAAAAAATGAATTTGGTAGTTAGAAAGGGATTTTTTTTTAATAATTATTCAGTTATTAGAAAGAAGGAATTATTTAATGGATTCTCTTGGACGAAGATGAACAATGCTGGTTCTTGTTGTTAATGTACGAAGAATGGCTACCGTTTACATATTGGTCGAACTTGTTGAACAGAAATGTGATGGACTATGTGTAGGATAGTATCAAACTTGAAGGAACGAAAAATGAAGTATAAAAGTTCACGGCGAATGGTTTCTATGTCTAGAATTAGAAAGCTTTCTCCCTCTTGAAGATTAATTTGTTCAAAGTAACTGCTGCCTACGCTTATTCTTATTTTCCTGTTTTATTACTTAATTTACATAAAAGGGAGGGTGAAAAAAAGTCGTTGTGTATGGCTGCCTATGTAATTTCTCGACTCTAATCAGATGATTAACATTCTTCGAATTTTGTTGCGACTTATTTTTTCATTTAACTTGTACGCACATTGCACGCGTCAATTTTCCTTTTATTGAATGTACGATATTATTAATTTTTTTTTTTTTATTCTGTACTTACTTTCCAGCATACTCAAGTCATCCTTAATCACCAAAAACGTTTTTTCAGATAAAAACTCCGTCGGTCCTTTTTTCCATTTCATGATTTTTGCAGTAGGCGTCGTGGTAGAAATAATTTATCACTTCGAATTTAGAAAAAACGCGGCAAATAATTTTGAAATATTTATTTTACGCTTTCCTCGTAACACTAGCACAAAAAACAATTTTATAATTCGAAAATAACTCGATACATTTAATGTTTCATAATAAATTTTTGAACAAATTTATATTATTTTCAAAGAAATAAAAAGTATGATTGACTATAAGAAGATACACTTGAATTTCATCATTCTATCCATCGATTATTGGCAAGAATTTCTGACACTCTGACATTTATGGTTATCGCGATTGTAAATGAAATTTCCACTAGCTTTTTAATTGTTCTTTCTCACTGTCAACTCACTGAATTTGGTTTCTATAGAAATATTCATAATGACTCAAAATATTACGTAATTTTTTTTATCTCCATAAGAAAAATTTATTTATAATTTCAATGTAATATTTATGACGTTATACATCAACCTAATCGCACTATTTTAAGCACAGTCACAACGCTGATAATTCATGCACGTTTTCGGAATGATCGACAGGATCTTAACCATTAGATACACGAACGTGGTAATTACTGTAGATGTAACACTACGCATGTAGAATCACGAACCCTCCAAAATAAAGCTAGCATGCATGTTTGTCTTCTTTTTCAAACCTAATGCAATAGGTATAAACCAATTACAAATATTTTTTAAGAAACCGACAAAAATACATTTCTATATTGACCGGTTTGCAGAGATCATTGAGCATCTCTTGTTTTGTTCTTTTCAATCGATAAAATTGTGTCGATTTGAATTGTGCGCGACATTTGCGGAAGAAATACGATTTTAAACGCGTAGCCCCATGTCAGCGAAACAACCGGTGCACTGAGCTTCGGTTTACCTTGCCATTGGCTACATATAGCTTTTACCTTTCTCATTGTGGTCGACTGTGTAAGAATACAGGTAGCGACAAAAATCGATCCAACGACTACTATTAAACAACTAAACCATGTTTCGTTTGCATACATTCTCGACTTCAAGCGGAAGTTGCTACTACACGCACATTTTAAACGTCGGGGGTGCGTTACGAATTATTATGGAACGTAAATGCAATTATATACTTTATTTTTACTTTTGTATTAACAAATTTGCACATAATTATAACATTATCGAATTTGATTATTAAAACTATATAAGTAGTAAAGTGAAACGTAGTGTTTTCTTTTCACATAATTGTTCCAATTTCGTAAGAATATTTTATTTAAAAACATGCGGGTACATTTCATGCAGAAAATACATTTTAAAATTGCGCACTTTTATTCAAATAAGTCACTAAAAATGTGAACCATCGCTGAATATAATTAGTATAAAAATTAAATATTTTCTATTTACAATGGAAGAACATAATGTACAGAATGCTAATACACTATCGACGATATCGATAACGCTTGAAGTGAAACCATAATTGGAAAATGTTGTTATGAAATTGACATCTAAATCCACGTTTATATGAATATTCCCACTCCCTGTTAACAATTTTAAATGCAATATCTTCGTATGGTGGACCAGCGTGAAACCGTAAAATAGCGAAGTCTTTATTATCAGCACAAGGTGTCTGGAAATTATAATATATTTGTTAATCAAATGGTTAAACAGTTAGTAAAAAAGTACATTCACTGCAAATAATATATCTTACCAAGAAGTATTCTGGAGTTGTGTTTTTATCTATTAAATCCGGATAGAATATGTTAAACTTATAGCCTTGAACGATCTTCGGTGGTGGATTATCCATGTCGTAATGTGTTTGATTATACTTATTCCACTCGAAACCGGTATGAACCCGATTGAAGTACCTTGGTTTCCTAGGTCTATACTTGTCAGACCAGAGATAAATCTGTGCTTCCAAAGATGACTCGACGCTAAATTGTGCCTCATCGGAACTCATGTTTTTACGTGCTTCTCTGTGCATTGCTTGTTCTTCCGCAGTCATAACGTTTTGAATCTTTCGACCCGTACTGAGCACTTGATTTCTTGCGTATTCTAATCGTTGACTATCGTCCTCTTCTAAAGTAACTAATGTTCCTGGCTCAAGTTGAGAATAAGGAATATATTTTGGAGAATATCCTCCTGATTCGTACTCGCAGAATGATTCTGACAAAAGATCATCAGCTGCATTAGTAGCTTCTTGATCATCGCTGGAAATATATAAAATATAGTTAAGCAAATTTATGAATGATTCATGCGTGTAGATATGCGATAAAAAAAAGGTGCATACTCTGATTGACTCTCTTCGCTTTTTTCTGCAGTCGTACTGGTAGCTGGCTCGTCTTGTTTTTCCAATTGCTCACCAGTTGCTTGTGAATTTTCGGTTTCATTATCCGTTCTGGCTACACCTTGTTCAGCAATTAAAACCTCCAACTTTTTGCGCAAATTTTCTTGATGTCGATCTCTTAACCGTGCTCTCGCCATGTGTGCTGAAGAGAATAAATGTCTGGTACAAACATGCCAGTTAAATAATATAATTTAATACATGAATAAATAATCTTTTTTGCCTACCTTTGAGTTGGGACAAAAGACTTTCCCAATATCCTATATCCACACCTTCAGGCTTTCCTGTAATTTTTCCTTCAATTTGTAATTGTAAGGCTTCTAATTGTGCTGCCGTTTTTCCTTTAAAAATGGCAGTCACATCTTTAGCTACTGATTCATGTATACCCTCTCTTCTACCAACAGCTAAAAGAAAATAACCATTAACATGTTTATAGAAATTGTTAATAGAACTTTAACTTATATCAGCTACCTATAATACTTACCAACTTCATATTCTGACCTTTCTAATTTTCTCAATTTGTGTAATTCATCCTCAACAATTACTGTAATGTCATTCCAATAATCCAAATTTTTACCACGTTCTAATTCTTTATAAACTTTAATATCCTCAATAAGATCCTCTAAATCTTTCACATGTAATCCATGTAAATAAGTGTAAGGTTCATGCATTTCTACAGCATCAACTTCTTCTTCTGCACTAATATACTTGGCAAGAAGATCAATTGGTTTTGCACGACCATCTTGTATTCTAATACGCGATCTTAATCTTGCTTGCTCTAAATGAAATTGATCTTCCTGCCTTGCCCATTGTTCCAACTGAGCAGCTTCTTTTCCCCTTTGCAACATTGTCATTTCTTCTTCTCTTTGTTGTCTTTCTAATTCTCTTTCCTGCCTTCTTTTTTTAACTTTTTCTAATTCTCTTTTATTTTCTTCTTGCTTATATCTATTTCTAATTTCTAATTCCTCCCTACTGACACCAAGTAAACCTTCTTTTTCAAGTTTTTTAGACCACACAAAGGTGGAAAGCAAATTTCCATCACCAAATGGATTATCTGTATTTGTATAATGTAAATAGTCATTATCCCACCCCATTCTTTCTTTTCTTTTACGTTCTTTAGCTTCCTTCTTCTTTAAACGACGTAATCTCTTTTCTTCTGGTGTTTCTGTAGCTTTCATCAACTCCTTCTGGCGTTTTCTATCCTCAATTTGTTTCTGTCTCTGTTTCTGAAGCTTTTCTAAAAGCTTTGTAGAATCTGATGAAGAATTAGATGAAGATGAAGTACTGGATTCAGTTGAACTTGAAGGAGAAGATGATGAGGATCTGAAATAATCAAAAAAAATGTTTAAATAAAGAACTATTCATTCATAACCTCAAAAGTAATCATCTGTAGTATCCACTTGCCTTCTTCTGCTTTTATGTTTCGAAGATTTTTTACGAGATTCGCGGGTTTCAGAAGTGTCCCTATGTCTACTGGATTTTTTATATTTTAGACTAGAACTTTTAGAGCATTTATATCCCGATTTTGATCCTTTAGAACGCCTATCATAATCACTATCACTATCTTTACGTGAAACCCTATCTTTATACCTATGCCGATCTCTATCTTCCTTGTTTAATCTCTCATAATCTCTTCTATGAGAATACTTATCCATTTCTATTCTGGATTATTATTCTCCTCCATAAAAAATACTTGATGTATTGTTGTGACACTTAACCTCACAAAATATAATTCTTCGATGTAGTAATAGTTAACGCCATTGCAGAATGAAACACAGCTGATTCCGGTTGACTACGTGCACATTTCCGTTTACAGTTAACAAAATAATATAATACAACAAATATTAAATATCTTTACATTATTGTAAAAATATAATAAATTAATGAAAAGTGTTTGATTACTTATTCTATTTCTTATATTAATATTTTTTAAATTATCTATCAACGACTAGGGAGTGCCTTTCTTCCACTCTTCTTGATGCTACATCCGTTAAACTTTCAAATTTGTGAGCATACCGCTGTTGGAGAAAGGTTTTCGGAAATATACGGGCGATTTTTATAGTGTTTGGTGACGAATAGTTTCGGAAGTTTGTGGCCATTTTAAGTGAACCAAATGCCGCACAAGATGTACTATTCGGACAAATATTACGACGATAAATACGAATACAGGTTGGTCGGAATAACAGCAGCGCATAATATCTCATTTAGATTTCGATTTTCGTCAATTGTGCCATTTTGAATCGTTTAGGCAGATGTACAAGAACAATTTTCTGAACGAGATATTCGCATTAATAAGTTCTTAATACTTCTGATAGATTGTTTTCGTGTAATAAAAAATCTGTTTCGATATATTTGATATGCGTAATACGTAATTCCTTAGTCCAATTTTGCGACGTAGATGAAACGTAGTGGTTTAAATGACGAGAAAGTTCTGATTAAAAGAATAAATCGAAACAACGTGATTTCATGCAGTGACAATAGTCACATGATTACAAAGAATTAAGGGTAAAAGAGGGAGAACAATATTAAATAATAGTAACACAGATTAAAACCTTGTTTATATACATCGAAATATGTAAATTTTTAGTTATAAATAATATCTCGTGTTGGTGTACAGATTTTATGGCGTATTAACACTAGCTTTATCCACATTATTATTTTAATTGAAAGTAATCGACACAATTATTTTATCTTAACATTAACCATTTTGTAAATTATATCATGTTTATTTTTCCAGGCATGTTGTATTGCCAAAGGAAATGGTAAAATTGGTTCCAACTACTCATCTTCTCTCTGAACAAGAGTGGAGAGCTATTGGTGTTCAACAAAGTCAAGGATGGGTACATTATATGATTCATAAACCAGGTATGCCAGCAACTTGTTGCATTCTTCTGACATTATCCAAATTTTGTCATTGATCTTCGCTTATTGCTTTGAACTATATAGAAAAATCTTTCTATTCGAGGAAAATATATGAAGTAATGGATATTTACATTTCAGAACCACACATTTTACTCTTTAAGAGGAAAATAACATCACCACCACCACAGAATTAATTGCCCTGTCACAACTGTACCAATTTGTAAATAATGCTTCAGATCATTGTTAATATTCATAAAACAATTCAGCTATAATAGTTAACCATCCTCTTGGCTTTTAAAATCAATGTGAAATATGATACTAAAATGATGCACATATGTTTACATTTAAAAATTTACTGATGCTTCTAGTAGACAGTAATTATTCTTTCTCTAAATTCTTTGTTGCAACAATAATATCACCATTATGTCTTCATTGTTTTCTTTGACAAATCAATCCAAAAAGACAGTGAAAACATTCTGTATATATGTCTATAAAGTGCCTTAGTTCTTAGTTACAGTTTAAATAGTACTTATGTTTTGAATTTACCATGACAGCTTGGTATTTCATTTAATATAAGTAAAGTAAAAACACCTGAATATTCTGATTTTTTTTCTGAAAATCATAGTTCTGAAGCAGAATCAGTTATTCTGTCAAAGAATTTATTGAATAAGGAAAATTGTCATAACATTGTGATTACAGTGCCTTGCATAAATGTGCGAATGAATAGGGTATACTTTAGTATTACATACTTAGAATAATCATTCCTTTATGTTTAACAAGAATGATATATTACAAGAAAGTGTGCCTTTATGTTTTAAGTTCAATAATTACATAGATATTATTTTGAGATTCCATTATTATTAGTTAAGTATTCAATTCTGTGTTTATTGTGCATCTCATCACAAGATTTTTTACATCAATCAAAATTGCATGATGTATTTATTTTACATATAATTTTATACAAATTCTGCTCTCTAATTATATTTTTTGCAACATTTTATCAGTATTTCTCAAAAGTAATTCCTATGTCTTAGTATTAAATGACTCATTTATTTTATAAATAAAATATGTACTGTCAGTTCTTAAATAAACATTTGTAACTAATATTCTAATTTTCATTTTATTTCTCTTATAAACGCTTCCACACACTTATATAATATACACGAAAATTTATCAGTTCAATTTATTTAATCCGAGTATATTAAATAAACGTTGTTTTACCCGAAAGATTACATTAATCTATATCAGAAACAACGTGACGTAAAGAATTACATAAATATTAAATGTAAACGAAGTTGTGAGGAAATGTGAATCGTTCGTGTATTTCTTCATTTGTATTCTTGGGCGATAAAAAAAGCGAAACAAATTTAGCCAAATATGTGAGAAAGGAGGGGCAGAATAATTAAAACAATCACGTGACTGACCTCAATCCAATTATACAAACATAGTCCCTAGCGGTCAAGTAATTCTCACACTAATTTTTGTAAATTGTACATTAATTAAATCATCGTTTACGGACTGACGTATGTTGCGTGCTACAGTTCGTTTCACTTTTATTACATAATTTCATTACCATTTGTATCTTCTAACAAGGAAACAAGCGATTAACGAAATTCGTTAAGATTAGACAAAAAAGTTAATTTGCATACTGTGAATGCTATCAAACGAAACATCAAAATATTAGTGAATTGAGCCTGTTACATTTACACGTATAGCAACGCATTTATTTCAATTCATCGAGATATCGACACCAAGTATATAAATATCTGTTAACATCTTCAGCTTTGTGTATCCGCAATACTTTCTCCCAAAAAATAAAAAAAAAAAAAACTACCGCTATTTCGTAATAATTGCGATTTAACATATAGTTACATGTGCCAATATCACTGAACTGTCTACCATATATGGTGTAACCATTCATTCAAGTTCCGAATGTGTGTGCTGATCGGGGTACACGCGGTTTCGTAAACCGCGTGTATATTGGTGCGCGCGCAGGCACGCGTTAATCGTAGGATCCCCGGCTACATGTGCAAAGGTACATCAGAAAAACGACAAGGAGGGAGGACGTTGTGGATGGAGTTCGGTGAAAGGGGGCAAAAGAACGGCGGGGCATAGGAGAGAAATAGAATGCTGAAGGATAAGGGCGATGGAGAGGGAAGGCGATAGTTGATCTCTGACGCACACATGTTGCATCCACACAACGCGAAGGGCTCTCTTCTCATGGGCCAGTCGGTACTCCACGAGAACAGAGCGCATCGACACAGTACGACGATCGCGCTCGCGGGAAGAACGACTTTTGGCGCTCTCTAAATCGATACATGCTCAGCATTCCAATTCGAAAATTAGCACGCGCGCAACGTGATTTGATTGGACGGGAATCGCATTGTTACGCGCACTGTTACTTCTATCGGCGACCACGATTGTGAATAAATCCAATCTATCGGGTAAGTCGATTTTTTTCTAACTAAAGTCTGCAAAAATCTTGCTTGTGCAAAAGGTCGAACAAAAGTAAACGAGGTCGTGACTTCTGCCTGTAAATACAAGGCATTTGATTGTACAATCTTTCTGAAAAGAATTTAGTTGCGATACTTTTACACTTTTAACGAGAGCTTGAGAAGTAAAAGCTGCATTCAGTGCGACAGAAATGAGAGGACAAATAAAATTATATCTCGTTGCGTTCATCTTTGCCCTAATGGTAATTACGATCCATGATATACTCGTGACTTTTCTTATTGCGTATCATCAGGTTGATCGATCGATGTATTGCAATGGCAAGAGGGGTTGAACGTATGAAATAGTGCGTATCTTGCGGCGGTGTTAGCCCACGTGCACGAAACTGAAATTCAAACAGTTCGCGCAGAAGCGTGGACGTTTGAAATTTTCATCTCAAAATTGATTTGAAATACATCGCTAATCGTGGGAAATGAAATTGTTACTCTAAAAAGAGATGTTCTCTAAATGTATCTATTACATTTAATATTGTCACATTCACGTAATAAATACATTTGTCACACTAGAATCACATTTACACACGATTCATTTTATTTACATACGCGTATTATAATTTTATGTACTCTTGGCACGCCTATATCCAGACTTACTCACAGATACGTGCTTCGCACAACGAATACGTAATTCCTCGATTTTTCATTGTTTCAATCGAATGCATTTCAAATTTTTAGAACACCGCACCTTTCTTACCGAGCAAGCTATTTCTGCCATACACGGTTCAAACAAGAATTGCACGTGCGTTTGGCCCCTTATTCCCCACTTTCATTTGCTCTCACGCAGAGGCGCTTGTAAAATAAATCTTCGCATCGTGCTTAATAAAGATATGAAATCGAGGTAAACATTTCGATAGCATTTCTCCTTTCCTTTTCCTTCTTTCTTGCATGTGATCCAGTATAAAGACTGTTTTCGCGGATGTATCGAACAATGGTAAATTTTATCACGGGGCATAATTTTGTTAGCGGACGGAAGGTAAAGGCACATTTCCAGGACAGTTTGAACCGGTTAATACCAGTTTCTACGAGATTGTACATACACGTATATATATATACAGCACAGCCAAGAAAATTCGATGTCTTAATTTATATTTTTATTCATTAACGAATCGTGCTAATTAATTTATGATAAACTGATTGTTTTCATGAAAATGATACGGGCAACTGTTCTTATTTTTGTCAATTGTACAAATTCGTTTACGCGATAGTGAGTTTTTGCGATAAGAATATCAGATACCGGATGTTGCTTAAATTAGAGAATAAACGTGAACTTAACACCGTGTACTTTTAGGGTTAATTGGTGGTGTTAGATGATGGGTATGTACACACGAGGCTTATCGCGTATAAAGCTCAAGCTGACAATTATCATTTATGAATATTACATATCGTTTATGTTATATAATAGATTTAATATGCATTGCGCGGCATGGTCAGCATGCCAGGACCAATGGATCTCGTAACGCACCGTGAATATTGTTTTTCCTGTTCACTTTTGCAATTATATGGATAAGTATACGCTTTATGGTTACATTCCAGCAAGAGAACACGTTTTTGCAAGACTTATGATCAAGGACATGTTATAAGTGCCATGGCAATAATGTCTTCAAATATCGTTCAAAATATCTTGATAGTAATAAAAAAAAAAAAAACATTTCAGTATAAAATGCTTTAATACGTCCGAATTATTATATTTGAATATGTTGCACAACACATTAAAAATGTATTGTTCGATCTAAAAATTGAGGAAATTAGTTGCATTTTAAAAGAGTTAATGACTTGCGTAGTTTCACCGCGAGACAATAACTCGCGCAAGATGAACAATGTAATTATGACAGTTGGATAATAGGGCACTGACCACCATCGCTTAGGGACGTTTATCAGCGTAAAAATGAATCAGTTCGTTTACCTGCATTAATTGTTCGCTAATTTCTGCACGCGATAATAATATTGCAACGAACTGTTTCACAGTTTCATCCGTTTATCCACAATTTCACTCCCACACGTGAGCCTTATCGCGATCTTCCACAATATGTGTAAATATTTTAATACGATTACAGTCGCAGCAACGTCGTTATGTTTCGACAGGCTGACATAAAAAGATAGTAAAATAATTGAAGCGGTAATTCGACGTTGTACATTTTAATTTAGTACATGGCGTATCACGCTTCGGGCAATATTTTATTATCATATCGGGAGAAAAGCTTGCGCAATGTATTTCTGCGAAATATAATGTTTATTTTAGCCGTGATGTGGATACATCACAATGTCGATTTCGGTGCCGTATTAGGATGTACTAAAAATTTCGTCTCTTGTTTGTTTTTTTTAGGATAAGAAAAAATCAACATGGCACATCCGAAAAGGTGGAAGAACTGCATGTCAGAGAATATACTGACAGTGCTTACGATAGCCGCAGTCGTAGTCGGTGTTATAATTGGATTCATCTTAAGGAATATCAGAGAGGAACCATGGACGAAACGCGAAATTATGTACATTCAGTTTCCAGGAGATATTTTCCTTCGAATGCTAAAGGCCCTTATACTGCCCCTGATCGTCGCCAGTATTATCAGCGCCATCGGTGGTTTGGATCTCAGTCTATCCGGTAATTAATAGATACGCGTCTGTCTTCTTTGGAGGGAGGATCTTTTAAATAACTGGGAAGATTATTTATGAGGAGTGGGTATGCGTGGGCGTGCAAACTTGTTTACTTGAAGATGTTTGATTTGGTAGAGCGCTGATTACCAGTATTTTCTGGTGTGATTTAGTTGAACAAGAGAGAGAAACTCAAACATTGCCGATAACAGATGTTCTTCTTTTATCTTTTTGAATGATTAACTTGTAAGAACTAATGACTTGGTGATCAAGATGAATCAAGAAATATTCTATCTCTCAAACAAGCGTTATGCCTTTCGAATTCCGTTTTTCCTCGACTGAACAATTAAAGACCGTGACTTTTTGTTCCGCGATATCAATTTTCAGCGTACACATTTTGTGCAACGTTTATGTACTATATTTTAATGCGTTATGTAAGATCGAAAGAACAAAAGCAGAAAGGAAACGAAAGATTTAAAAATGCATTTCATTTATAGGAAGGGTCGGCATAAGATCGATTTATTATTATGCATCAACAACGATATCTGCCGTAATTCTTGGTATAATTTTGGTCTTGATAATTAGACCTGGAGAATTCAGTACACATGGGCTAGTTACAAAGGAAACTGCAACACCAACCAGAGATGTTACAACTACAGATACAATATTAGATCTGATCAGGTATAATAAAAAGTCAATATTTTTTTGAAATAATAAATTATCGTCTTTTTTACGAAATTTTGTTTTTAGGAATGTGTTTCCACCAAATCTTGTACAGGCCTGCATTGCTCAGGTATATTC